CTGATTCCCCCCATGCTTCTGATTTCCCTGCTGACTCTGCTCCCCTCAAGGCGGTTGGCTCTAGGGTCAGAGGGAGAGAGAACACAATGCCTTTCTATGTTCAACATACTTCTCCCAGACTCTTCGGGAGGTGGTATAGAACGGGGTGGGCTCTCTCCCCTTTAAAGCTCAGACCCTTCCCATACTGGTGGATGGAAAAGGTCCACCATCCAGCAGAATCGCTGAGGTTTTGCTCCATGGCGGGTAAGGACAGGGTACCAGGGGCCTTGCAAACTGGGCCCCACACTCTTACAGTGGCTTCCAGCACAGCGGACAAGCAGGAAATGGGGCTAGAAAATTCAGTAGAAAGGAAGGCTGGTCCAGTGGTTAGGGTGGCCTCCGTTGCCTTAGAGGATCTGGATTGCATTCATTGTTCTGCGACAGACTTCCTGTGTGCCCCCTTGGGCAAGTCACTTATGCTCAGATCCTCCAAAGGTATTTCCACGGATTTCAGAGGAAGTTCAGAGACTGAATACCTTGAGGACCTAGGACTTAGTCTTGCCTCGGTTTTTCATCTATAAAATTAATGGTGATAATTGCAGTTCCCTAAGTCACAGGGGTGTTATGAAGATAACTAGAGCAAACATGATGAAGAACATTGTGAGGTACTATGATAATGGGGACCATATCACCCCTTCAGGGTGGGGATTGTCCACTACTCTATTTGTACAGTGTCTGGCACAATGGGGTCCTGCTCTTGTTTGGTCCAGGGACACTGCTGTAATAAACATGATTAATAGTAAGTACCTAAAATTAGATAGATATAGGGATCGTCCATTCCTTTGGCTTAGCGGTGGCCTAGCAGGTCAGATTCCTTCCTCACAACAGGGTTCCTCAGTGTCCAGACATATTACTCAGGATGGGAACTGAGGCAGAATTTGAAGCTAAAACCAGATCTATGGTTAAAATTAGATTACTCTAGCTACATTGCTGACGGCTGTGAAAACTTTTGTGCCCTGTGTGACATAGGTTGACTCACCACCCTGTGTAGGCAGGGGGATGGAAGAATTTCTCAGAGAAGCAGATTATTTACCCTGGCAGAATAACCCCTTTCACTGAGGTAGGACGCATCTACACTATGATGCTACAGCATGGCCTTAGTATAGACACACCCTAAGTGCCTGTCAGCACCTCAGCCTCCTTCCCTCCCTCTGTGTAGATCCAGAATGCCCTGGGCATGCAGCGTGTTTTAGGTGTAGAATGGGGAAGCAGAAGACAATGGCAAGCAGAATTCTCGTCAGTATTTTCCGTTCATTCACAGGTGTCTGTCCACCCTAAATCAGACCTTAATCTGGTATAAACTGACGTAGCTCTACTGAAGCTAGAGGGGTCACATCAGGGTTTGTTGTCCCTCTGGCCCTTGCCTTGCTGTGCTCTGCATGCCAGGGGGTATTCGAGGGTTCTCTACACACCGTGAGAGTCCGTCGCAAATGCTGCTGATATGAGTGGTTTACAGTATCGGTGCACGCACACAAGGCTAGGTTATTTGGATTTGTCATGTACGTTGCCACTCGTCCCACCCTACCATTGGAAAATAAACATTGAGAGCCAAGTACATAGCAGTGCATTTGGCAGCAGGTCACTTAGCTGACTTAACAGAAACAAGCTGCATAACAGGGGGAGCTTCAGTCTTGATTCTGATTTTCCTGACTCCCCCCACACCCACCCAACTTTGAGTCAAACTGTTACTGGGTGGTTGACATCAAAAGCATGCTGTGAATTCGTACTGACCCACACAGTCCATGAGAACTGAGGATTGATCAGTTCTTGACAAAGCCACTTGGGTCTGAGTCTAATGAACTATTATTAATTATTATTATTATTAATTCATTGTATTTTGGTGGTACCTAGAGGCCTTAACCGAGATAAGACATTGTGCTAGGTGCTGTACGGACAGTAAAAAAACACTGCCTGAAGAGTTAATAATCTAAATAGACAAGAAAGAAATGGTATAGGAGCTAAGAAGTACTATCACCCCCATTTTACAGATGGGAAACTGAGGCAGAGATAGACTAAAATACTTGTCCATGGTCACACAGGAAACATGTGGCTGAAGTAGGAATTAAACCCCACTCTCCTGAATAGCAAGCCGAGTGTTTTAATCACTGGCTTGAGCCTTCCTCTTATTTACACCAGTGTAACCACTCTGACTTCAGTGGATATATTCCTGATTTACACCCGTTAAATGAGAGGGTCAATTAGAATCTCATGGCAGAGGCTTCCAAGCCAGAATGGAACTTGAAAACCCCATTGTGAAATCATCCCAGCATTCCTCCACTTTTTTTGGCCGTGACTTATCTACCATTGTGTTAATATCTATGGGGCTGGTAACTGGCCCAGGACGCTGGGCTGGATTGTGATTGAAACCAAGCACTTTTAAGAGCATTTTCTTTCTACTTGTTGCCGAAGATTCAAAGTTCCTGGAAGGCAGCGGGGCTGGGATACGTCAAGCAGTTACTGCTATCTGAAAGGGGGGAGCCCCTCCCCGCTCATGTGAGCTGGAAAGGCAAAAAAGAATGACATATGTGCTGTTTCCTTTTCCAGTTGCAAAGGGGTCAGGAACTCGGCAAGGAGTGTCTGAACAAGTGCGGCATTCTCCTGTGTCCTTGGTCTCTTCCTTGCCTTTTTAGCAGCTCAGTTTAATCCAGCCGGCGATTCTGAACAGGGGGGGAAAAAACCCGTCAGCACAAATAAGGCATTTCTGAAGGCGTAAATTATGAATGACCAAAAAAATGGAACACCATCACCATGTGAGTACCCCATTTCCTCCCCCTCCCTGCAGTAACAGTGAATTTACAAGTCTGTTGTTTAACCAGCTGATTTTTAAAAATACAAGTTCAAGTTCTGCAAACCAATTTGCCTGGGGTCCTCTTAAAGGAAAGAGATATCGATGAAACACTGTGTGTGTGTGTGTGAGATACAGAGAGAATTGAAACAGACCTCTGCACAGTTTAATTCCTCAATATAGCATATGAAAATTTGTTACATTTCATTCTAAGTGCTAGTTTAGAGAAAATATAAAGTAAATGCTTTCCCCATAAGGAATGAAAATATAGAGCATTCAGAAGGCTTAGTGTCTCTCTTCTGAGATATTAACGGTGCTGCCTAGCGTGTAGTTAGAGACACCAAACTGTATGTAATATGAGATGCAAGCCAAAAACGGTCAGTCTATATTTAAAGTTACAATGCATGTTTGCTTTGGGAACTTTAGAAACACAGTCTTAGGGCAACTGAATGGTTTTCTCACAGTAACGTTATAGGAGGGAAAAGTCAATGCTGACATAGTTCTGTTGACTTAAGTGAGTGGCACAGGAGAGAATTTGGCCCAGGAAGTTCAAGTGACCATGCCATTTAATCACCCCGTGGTAAAATATTTTGGGGGTAATATTAAAAAATTGAGGGCCAGATTCTGATCTGATGCAAATCTAGAAAAAAGAAAAGGAGGATTTGCGGCCCCTTAGAGACTAACACATTTATTTGAGCATAAGCTTTCGTGAGCTACAGCTTAATGCATCCGATGAAGCGAGCTACAGCTCACGAAAGCTTATGCTCAAATAAATGTGTTAGTCTCTAAGGGCCACAGGTCCTCCTGTTCTTTTTGTGGATACAGACTAACACGGCTGCTACTCTGAAACCTGCAAATCTAGAGTAACTCCAGTGACACCTCTGGAAATACTTTGGGTTTCAATGGTGTAATGGACAGCAGACTGTGACCCACCGTCCAGATAATGGCTTTGGAAGAGGTTTGCCGTTTTAATTCAAATATAACCAGTTTGGTAACATCACAGCAAATTTTTAATGAACCCATCAAAACGGAATTGATCCTCACAATGGATCCCTGTAATAAAAAGCACAATACAGAGGGGAGTGCTGGGAAAAGAGCCAACCTCAACTCTTGGTCCCAGGATTGCTGTTGGATGAACTGGTCTATATGAAATTTGAAATTGACAATGGTTTTCAAGCTTTAATTGATATAGATGGATCGAGCAGAAATGTTATATTGAAAGAAAAGAATCACTGGAATTTTCACCGAAGATTTTTATTTGCCCCTGGTCTTTTTGCAAGTAGAAACCAACTTAAAAGCTGAAAAATCATCTCCATCTTTTTTGTCGGTTCCAGTAACTTTGACAAGATTTAAGCCTATTCACTGCTAGTAGAAGGGGAAAAAAACCCAAAGAAGATACTACGGTGTCTGGGAGCTTCTGTACACTTATTTTCAGACATGTAAATTACTATAACTATTGCTCTCAAACGTCTTGTGGGATGGGGGAGTTACACTCATTCGCTGAAATGCACATTATTGATTGTGCAGTGTTGTTGACTATGTAGAAGCCCAAGCTTTACTCAGGAGTTTTGCCTGCTTAAGGCGTTTAGGAGTGGACTCTCAGGCCCTGATTCAGATCTCACTTGTGCTAGTGTAGATCAGGAGTAACTGCACTGAAATCAGTGGAGTGCCACCAGTTTAAAAGTAGCGTAAGTGAACTCAAGAATCAGGCCCAACATTTGATTTATCTAAAGTGTTAATTCGGTGTGTCGGTATCTCAAAACAGTACAGAATGAGAAAACAACTGTACCCATCAAATAATTTTGTTTTCTGTAACATCTAGGAAGGAGTTCTCAGTTTTTGACCATGTCAGACTCTGAAAGCCATTTTTACAACCATAAACTATAGATGGTTACAAACAAAATTTGCACCCCTTTACCTAGTGTTGAATTGAAATAATGTTTGTCTGCTTTCCGACTGTCTGAACGCAATTTCTCCTGCAGATTCAGACAGGATGTTCCTGTATCCTGTTTCAGTTTGCATCATGGTAAATGTGAGCCACATTGTTTAAAAAACAAAATAAGAACCAAATTCAATTAAAGGGGAAGCCTTCTGGTGACTACATATGCAAGTTCAGAGCATTATTTCCATGTGGGCCTGTTTTGTTTTCCTGGCACAAATCCAGTAGCTTTGGCATCAGTCAGTTTCTAATCAAGGAGATGTTAAAGTCCGGTGTGTTGAGAGGTCCTGTAACAGTACAGACAACAGATGTTTAACAGAGCAGGACTGCGTCTGGCAAAACAAAGTTGCATTGCTTGATAAGCAGAATGAAAAGAATTGAAGCTGGTGTAAATATCCATAAAGCATCAGCGGTACATCAGACTAATCTTACACTAATTTTTTTGATACTGGCTGGGGATGCCAGATAACAGCTGTTTTGTGAGGTTGACAGAATGGTGTTGGGTAACCTAATCGCTAGGGTGCTCTGGTGAACCTCTTGCATTTACTGATGAATGATAAGGGATTTTTACTCACTCTTTCTTTGTATACAAGTATATTCTTAATGGTCCTGAAAGAGCATAACAGAAAGAGGAATGTTTCCATTTTAAAATTCCCAGCTTTATGAACTTAGAGGAATATGGGAGGAAAATAAATTCTCAGCCTCTCTTCCTTCTGATCATGGCATGTAAGGGAACCATGTGGTGAAGCCATATCCCTCCTCCACCCCCCAAGGAGGCAGTGGGTGTAGGCAGTCATCACGTGGATTGCTGTTAGAAAACCTAACCCGGACTCTGAAGATTTCCAGTTCCACTGTAGAGCCCAGGCCTGCTAAACTTTTTCAGGGGAGTTGAAGGAGAAAGAGACTGCTCATGTGAGTGCGGATTACTCGCAGGAGTAAGGGTGTGCAGAATGGGGGATCAGTCCTGCAAGCTGCTGAACTCTGTCCATTCCCAGCTCCTTCACCGGGAGCTGAAGGTGTTCAGCAACTTGGAGAGAAGGCACTCAGCAGGGTCAGGCCCTTGAGCACCAGCCTGGGTGTATACTTCAAAGGGTGCAGCCTCTAATGCCCCACATTGGCTGTGTGGAGCAGCAGGAAGGAGAGAACAACCTCCATGAGGCTATTTCCTATCCTGTGCTGATGGGTGTAGAGAGATTGGAGCCTGGGTACTGCCAATGCAAGGCACCATCCAGCATAGCTTGGAGGGGGAAGTGCTAGGCAAAGGGCTAGTCCATGACCTCCCTTCTGGAGCAAGGGAAAGTCAAGGACCAGAGTCACCAGCTGGTCTCTTGTGCTGCCCTTCACTCTGGGCTTGTGGCAAAGCCACAGTCAGTCCCTGAGGAACCTTCACTGGACAATCTGATGACTTGGACCTAAACTTTTTTTGTTGCCTCTCATCAGTGGAGGCTCTGTCTGAAACAGTACATTTTAAATAAGACTGGAGGCTATTGAGTAAGGAAACATACTTCTCTGCTAAGCACTGAGAGTATTTAATGAGTCAGGAACCGTGGTGGATTACACTGACCCCATTTTTAAAAAGAGAAGGCCCAAAATGCACCCACAAATGCATGTGAAATTGAATGCTTGTGTTTGTGTGCAGAAGAGAAGACTGAGGGGGGATTTGAGAGCAGCCTTCAACTACCTGAAGGGGGGTTCCAAAGAGGATGGAGCTCGGCTGGTCTCAGTGGTGGCAGAGGACAGAACAAGAAGCAATGGTCTCAAGTTGCAGGCGGGAGGTCTAGGTTGGATATTAGGAAACACTATTTCAGTGGGAGGGTGGTGAAGCACTGGAATGGGTTACCTAGGGAGGTGGTGGAATCTCCATCCTTAGAGGTTTTTAAGGCCTGGCTTGACAAAGCCCTGGCTGGGATGATTTAGTTGGTGTTGGTCCTGCTTTGAGCAGGGGTTTGGACTAGATGACCTCCTGAGGTCTCTTCCAACCCTAATCTTCTATGATTCCCATGACTCTGCATGCAAACTGGATATACCTAGTCCATTCTATGTAGGCTCTTATATTGTGCCCATCTTCATAGGTATCTATATGGAAATGTGCAAATGCAAAGACTTGATGTATGTACAAAATTGCAGTAATTGGACACACAAATGTAGGTTAAAAAACACCCATACAAATAAGTCTCTGCTTTTCTTCAAGTGCGTGACCCTTGATATTTATCGGGATCACTCTGCCACCGACAATTAAAACATACATATTATACAGCAGATTTGAATGATCCAGGTTATAACTAGCTAAATTTATAGGCCTATTAGCACTATTGCATGGCGCATCGTAACCTTGTCACATAGCTGTTATCACTGCATCTTTAAGTCTGGGCTCTCATGGAATACAGTGCATCCATCACTGCTCAGATGATTGAGGTCCCATTTTCAAAAGTGAGTTAGGCACTTCTGCTCCTAAGTCCCATAAAACTTTTGAACAGAGGACTTAGATAGATAGGATAGATCCATCTATCTAAGTCACTTAAGTACTTTTGAAAATTTTACCCGCAGGCTGATAACTGTTCCTGCAAACTATCTGGTAGAGGAATGATGACATTTGCAGAAATCAGGATTGGTTTGCAAATGATTTATAAACAGAAAAAATTAAAGGCTATGCTGGATAATTTATTTGCAACCAACAATTCAACCACGTTCAGCAATGATATTACAGTGCAAAAACAGCAGGCTGGCAGATCGCAATGTGTGGCAGAAATAAGATCCATATTCCATGAGTTTCTCCCAAGAATCAGCATCATCCAGTTCACATCAGAGTCCAATTGAAAGTGATTATCCATTCCATACTCTCATATTCCATACACACAGTGGTATGCCTTGTGTGTGTTTTCGCCAGTAAGACATTTGACTATGTGATTTTGTTTTAATTAATCTTCTAATCTATGAAAGAGACCAGCCTCTCACATCTTTTCTCTTTTGACATAGGTTTCACAACGGGGTTCTTTCTTGATGAAGCAGAAACCTTAGCTGAAAATCACAGCAGGTTAAACTCGTTCTGCTGTATTATAAAGTTTTTAAGTGATTTCTCTCTCTCGCTCTCTTATTTTTAGCTTATAAAAAACCCTGTTATTTCATGAGGGTCTAATTCTTTCTTCTTCAGATAAGCCCTGAGAAGGAGTTAAGCTTTTTATCAGTAAGTTGCAGGGGGGCTTTCAAGCACAACCTGAGACAGCTCCATGACATCCTGTGACTGATAAGCGACTGTTTCAGTTTCTTAATGGCAGCGCTCATGTTTAAAATGTCCTACTTTATGGGACAGTCCACATTATAAAAGAGAACATATGACAGGCCGTATATTGCAGAGTCAATACCAGAGGGCTCTGTGTGTGTGTGTGTGTGTGTTCCATCTAAGCTAGAAGACCTACAAAGCCTTCTGATATAGATACTGATTTTAAACAGAGAATATCTTTTAGTCACTTAGTATATGGAACCTACCAAATGGTTTTCAATGCATGTGTGTATCTTTCTCAATTCTCACGCTTCCGCTTGGAGTGAGTATGTTTTATTTCTCTATTCATGACACTATTCGCCACCCAACATCCACATGCTCACACCTTCCCCTTTTATAACTTAGATGCCTCTAAAAACCTGAAAAAAGTAAGATGATGTCATCCGGTCAATGTACAGTCACTTTTTTTTTTTTTAAGCAGCAAGGAGGAATTCAGATCCTAGGCTGTGTAAAGAAGGTGGTAGAAAATAAGATGGAAATATTAAACATTTTCGTATGAGCCAGTTGTCTATGGACATCCTTAATGGCACAGCCTTAATGGGCCTCCAAACGGAAAGGCCTCAGGACGAGTTTATTTAAAGACCAGGATTATGGATTAGAAAGTGCTGGTGATGCTTGACACTCCCTGAAGTTAATGGAAATTGTTTGTGGACCAGTCACAAGACTGGTGACCATGACAGGTGCATCAGTGGTTGGAGATGGCGTGGCTCGACCATGCAGCACGTTAGTGATCTCCCGCTTGTATTATGACCCCTAGGGAGCTGTTACAAACCATGGAACGTAGAACAGTTCTGAACATGCATATCTCAAACAGCTGTTTATGTCAACCAAATTCAGGCTGCTTCTTGTCTGTATGGGGAAACTGACTAGCTATTCTGGAATAACTATTCTAGAATAACTCCCATCTGGACACCCTGTTCTGAAATAAAGCTGACTTTACTCCAGAGTAATTGCTCTGCTTTGGAAACAAAATACTTATTCTGGAATGAAATCACTTTCATTCTGGAATAGCGTATTCACATAGGGAAGTTATTCCAGAAAAGGTAAATTATACCAGAATAGTTATTCCAGAATATCTGGTAGTCAGTTTCCCTTGTTTAGACAAGGCCTTATTCCCTATTTACAAATATTTGCACAAATGGGGTTGTGTTGTCCATGCCAACATCTGTATTTTCATGCAAATAAGAATGCTTGTTTTCTGGTACTTATTCAAAACTTTCAGTTATCCAGTCGAGGAGCAGAAGCAATACCATGTGACCAACTATCACATAGAGCAAATAATGAGTAGTCCAGGTGTACAGTCTATGAACAACCTAGCATCTGAAATGCGCATGTCTAAATATTCGTTGAAAGATTACATATTGATTAATAGATTTGCTTTGTGGATGAACAACTCATGCCAGATAATTGAAGCAGGTCCCAAAGTTTCTATATGAGCTTATTGACAAAAAGCACATTATAAGAACAATATTGCCAGCTCCAAGCAGTCAGATATTAGGAGTCGGGCCTCAACAGATTAGGAGATTGGCTTGAAAATCATGAGACTGTTTAAGAAAAATAAATGTTGAATTATTTGTATCTTTGTCCTGGGTCTCCTTCTGGAGTCTTTAGGGTTCAACTGAGGCCCACTTTCAAGCTTTTCTTGGCATCCAGGAGGGCTAGAAATTCATTTTTTAATGAAAGCTGAGGTTCTTCTGCAATCTGTTTATCCTTATCTAGGAGCTGGTGCTTGCAAGCCTTGCAATAAAGTCATGAGTTGGAAATGTTGCAATGACCAGAATAAACTAGAAGATCAGGATTTGTTCTTCAGGCTATGTTTGGTCACCTATGTCCAGTGGCATTATTACTGCTCCCCCGTTGGTTGGCCATTACATAGCAGGCTGGGGGCAGCAGAAAATTAATTTTTGGTGTTCATCATGGAGCGACCACATGGACTTTCAAGTGGTCTCTGAACCATCTGTTTCCTGAGTTTGCCCTACCATTGATTTGCCTGTCTGGTCAACTGACATTTGTTGCTCCCCTCTAAGCCTTCCATTTTTTCTGATCTCATCCTGTCTTAGCTCCTCAGGAATTTCTGCCACATCCAAACTGGGGGCTCTTGTGAAGATCATAACTGTTAATGAAGAGTTGTTTCTTCCTGTCCTTCAAGGGCATTCCATACGTTCAGCAGTGAGAAGAAAGGAGAGGAAGCCAGGACCAGATGCTGGGAAGACATAAATCTTCCTTTTTCAGCCTAGAATTTCCTTTCCTTTGGGAATTCTCCCACCTCTCTTCCCTTCTCCAAAGATTTCTGTCTTGGTCTCTGGAGCCTACGCTAGAGCAGAAAATATCTCCATCTCCACTTTCTTCCTGCAGTCAGGTAGGAGTTCTCATTTGTATTCTGGGGCATTTTTACTTGCTGTGTTGCAGGACGCAGGGAGTTCATCTTGACCAGGCTCCCTTTCATTTTCACTTACCACCAGCAGGTTTTGCTTTTGGATTCGGGATTCTAAACTGCACTTTGAGCTAGTTTTCCTTTCCTCATCACACTTAGTTATTTTAAATAAGAATAATGCCTAGCTTTCATATTGCACTGTTCATCAGCAGATCTCAAAGCTGTTTACAAAGGATCATTAGCTCCATTTTACAGATGGGGAAACTAAGGCATGGGGAGGGAAGTAATTTGTCCAAAGTCACCCAGCAGGGTAGTGAAATTGCTGGGATTAGAACCCAGGACTCTGGAGCCCCTGTCTGGGGCTCTAACCATGAAGCCACACAGTCTTGCTGCAGTAAGGTATTGACATTTTGGTAAATACGCATATGGAGGCAAAAGTTCTATAGTACTGCATATTGCAGTAACTACAGTTTGTGCTGAGGAAAGAGTGCTACGTAGCTGCATCACCCCAGAACTGACCCGGAAACAAATTGTGATTCAGGCTGTGTCTACACTTAGGCCTGGGCTACACTGGTGGGGTGGGGGGTTTCGAACTAAGATACGCAGCTTCCACTATGCTATTTGTGTAGCTGAAGTCAAAGTATCTTAGTTCGAGTTACCCTGCTGTCCTCACGGCAGCAAGTCAACCTTCCAAGATGGAGTACAGGCGTCGATTCAGGGATCGATTTATCACGTCTAGATGAGACGCAATAAATCAATCCCTGATAGATCGATCACGACCCGCCGAATGGCAGGTAGTGAAGACGTACCCTTAGGGGAATACACCACTTTGGCTACATCGGTGTAGCTATGCTGGCTTAACCATGTAGTGTAGACACAGCCTACAGTGATGGAAGGGGTTTTTCCAGCACTGTAAGAACACAGTCTCCCTCAACAATGGTAGTTACATCAAGTAAAGCATTTTTTCGATCAACATGGGGGTAGGTCTACATGGGGGTAGGTCTGCCTAGCTATGTCAGTCGGGGTGTGGTTCTTTCAGCTATGTTGACCCAGAACACTGGAAGAAAGCTAATATGCCAATTTTTAAAAAGTGTAATTGGGATGACCTGGGTAATTATAGGCCTGTCAGCTTAACATCAATCCCAGGCAAGATAAAGGAGCAGCTGATATGGGCCTAAATTAATAACAAATTAAAGAAGGGTCATTAATTAAAACCAATCAAGATGGGTTTATGGAAAATAGACCCTGTCAAACTAACCTGCTCTCTTTTTTTGATGAGATTACCAGTTTGGATGATAAAGGTAACAGTGCTGATGTTATATACGTAGATTTCTGGTGCTTTGACTTGGTGCTACGTGACATTTTGATTAAATAACTGGAACAGTGTACAATTAACACGGCACACAGTAAATGGGTTAAAGACGTTATCTAGACTATGTGGTACACTGGGCACATGCAAACAATATGCATTTTAATATGGCTAAATGTAAATGTTAGATCTGGGAACAAAGAATGTAGGCCATGCCTACAGGATGGGAGACCCTATGCTGGGAAGCAGTAACTCTAGAAAAGATGTGGGAGTCATGGTGGATATGAGTACCCAGTGTGATGTTGTGGCCAAAAGGGCTGATGTGATCCCTGGATACATAAACAAGGGGCTCTCCAGAAGGAACAGAGAGGTTCCTCTGTATTTGGCACTTGTGCGATCACTGCTGGAACCCTGTGTCCAGTTCTGGTGCCCACAATTCAAGAAGGATGTTGATAAAGTGGAGAGGGTTCAGAGAAGGGCCCTGACAATGATTAAAGGATTAGAAATCATGCTTTATACCAATAGAATCGTAGGACTGCAAGGGACCTCAAGAGGTCATCTAGTCCAATCGCCTGCACTCATGGCAGGACTAAATATTTCCTAGACCACATAGATAATATAGGCTCAAGGAGCTAAATTTAGCTTAGCAAAGAGAAGGTTGCGGGTTGACTTGATTACAGTCATTTTTAGTCTGTTTTTCACTCTGAATCGGAACAAAACCAAATTTCAAAATATCAACATCTTCTGCAAAATGGAATTACCATTCTCCGCACAGCTCTGTCTCTACCAGGGAAAATTTAGGCTCATTGTCCTGAGGTCTCGGCAGGTAAATAAAGGCATTCGAGAGGGTCATGCCATGTTGTTGTCAGTCCCAGGATATTGGAGAGACAAGGTGCGGGAGGTAATATCTTTTACTGGACCAACTTCTGTTGGTGAGTGAGACAAGCTTTTGAGCTTAGAGAGGGTTGAACCTTTAAGTCTACACAGATGTTCACTTGGGGAATTGTTATAACTTCACTGACGTCAGTGGCGTTATAGCAGTTTCCACTAGCTGAGGATCAGCTCCTGGACTCTGAGCTGACTCCCATAGATCCCAATGGCTTTGGATCAGGGTCTGGCTGATTTGGGATCTTAGTTCCCTTTTAATGTTAGCTCCCTTCAGAGTGCTAGATTCAGCTTAGGGCCTGCTTGTCTTCTGTCAGGCTCTGGCTGAGGCAGAAAGAACTCTGGAGGCTAACTGGGGCTGTTCTTCTCCTGTGGGGGACATGCCAGGGGCCAGCACAGTCCAAGAGGGGGAGGCTCTGACAGCAATTTAGAGTGAGAGAGGAGGGCTCTGGTACACCAGGCAGTTCTCCCTGCGGGTGAATATTCCCTGCAGCCCAGGCTGGTGCATGGGGGAGCAAGTCTCACCTCCCTGGATCAGCCGGAATGAATGGCACTCAGGAGATGAATGATTTTAGATTCCCCCTGCACGTCACTATCTCCCGTTTGTAAAAAGACCCTTGTGTTTCCTTCTGGAACCCATCACGCTGCTTGAATCCATGTCAAAGGCTCGTCTTCCTCCTCCCACACTCTTCAGGAGTTTCTTGAACTCTGCATTCCCCCCGAGGACAAACTGCTTGCCAAGTCCCTCTGCGCTTTGGTTACCTCCCCGAATCGGCTTCACTCTCGATGAATACAGCCTTTGATCTGATAGCATCTGACTCTGGTCATAGGACTCGTGCCTGGCTGGAGCAACAAGGAGGGGCTTGGTGGCTGCTTGGAGAGCTGCTTTGCTGAGTAAATACAAAGAATGGATGAATGCTGGGGGATGGGGGAGAGACAGAGGACTAGATTGAGTTTTATTGTGCAGTGCTGGTTTAAAAAAAAAAAAGCCCCCTGAGGCAAAGAATTCCCCCTCCCCGCTTCCTGGCTTACTTTTCCTTTAATAGGAGGGTCATACATTCTGCCTTGGGTTGTTAACAACATTATCTAGGCAGGAAGTGAACCCTGTGTCCTGTTTTCCCCTGTAGGCACTAACTGAGCAGATAGGAGCATGGATTCCATGTGTCTGCTCAATGGTGCTGCTTTTCAGCGGACCCTCTCCCAAATCAATGAGGCAGCACCACCAAAGGCCCTCTCTTTAAATGGTGTGCAGATAAGCACCGTGGATTACACATGGTGGCAGCTGCCCAGAGGTGGCCAATCGCAGCCCGCAGAGGTGAAATCCTAGCCGTCTCTTTGAATTTCTACAGGACTATTTCTGTTAGGGGTGTAATTGCAACCGTAGCTGGGTATCTACAGCACATGTCCTGTACTTAAAGACTGTGTTCATGATTAATTCCACAGAAGTCGCGCATAGTGTCCTCGTAAGTCAGAAGTAACTTTGAAAACAGGAATAGAAAGGCATCAGCAGGAATCAGTGAATGGGTATGTTGTGGAGTACAACACAGGCATGAGATGCCTATGGGTAGTAAAAGCTCAGAGCTTCAACCCGCGACAGAGAGCAAGGCCTGTCTTTGAGTGTCCATACTGCATTTGTGGGCTTACAGTGGCTGGACTTGGCTCTCACAGCCTTGCGAACATGTCCACACTGCCTATGCAGACCTTCTGGTTTAGGTCTGTGGCTTGAGCTGCATCCACACAGGGCTAGGACCTGAGTCTCAATGAGACAGGGACTCTGAACCCCACATCCACCCTCAGCAGAATCTGCAGGCTCAAATCCAGAGGGGTTCCTGGCCTGAGTCAGACTGATTTCTGGTGTGGATGGAAGGGGGTTTTGGGCTCAACCCTGAGTCTAAGCCTGATTTTACAATGCAGTGTAGACATACGCACAGGAGGTCTGTTGCACAGCCAGGAACTGGAACCATCTCTTCTGAGATCCAGCCTACTACAAGACCAGCCCTCGTCCCCAAAAAAGGAAGAGCTCATTTTCTTTTGTAGTTTTTTTTTTTTAAATCAAGGGGAAGGAGAGTCAGATATGTAACTTCTCTGACACCTTTTTCTCCATTCACATGGCACCTTTTACTCCTAGTTCTTTAAACATACTGGATAAATATCATTCACCCCATTCTACAGATGGAGAAATGCAGATGCAACAAGGACCCAAGATCACACAGCAAATCCGTGGCTGAGATGGGAGTGAATCCCAGACCTCCTGACATCCAACCCCCACTGCTGGCCCTTGCAAGCACTCCTGGTGTACAACAGATGTGCATCTGATAAAACCAGACCGGTCACTCCTCTGCCACTGGTCAATTTAAAAATTAACAAGACGGTGCCTAGCTGCTCTCAACAAAATTCTGTGTTAAGAGCTGTCTTTTCAGTGGATCTTTAATGTGGCTCTCTAATAGATTTTTAAAAATTATTAATGTTTAAAAAAAGTATAGAATACATAGGTTGGGAAAAGGGTGTCTGTACATTTGTGTATAGTGCTCAGATTATCCACAAATATAAAGTTAGTTTTTAAAAGTCATAGGATACATAGAGTACATAATCAGCAATAACCCAAATTTAGATGAATAGATTTAACAATACAGTTTAAATATTAGAATCCGAATACTCGGGTTCATCACTCATGAAAAGCTGTACAGAGATTTGGTTGTGGAAAGCAAAATATATCAACAAGTGGAGATTGTCCCTCAGTAACTGAGAATTAGGTTGGTTATCCATTTAGAAAATACTAGTACACCTGCAACTTTGCAGGTGAAATCAACTGTGAACACAATCTCGAAGATGTAGTCATTTGCAGGTGCAGACAAAAGAATAGAGGCATTTAGCTAACTGGTTTGTGGGTGCAAACAACACTGGGTGGAAATGTGTCCTTTAGTCTGATGTCGATTACATTCACAACATGTGGGTGTAAAATGGAAGACCACTCGATATCTAATGAAGTCGTGCTTTAGAAGTTAATCCTTGAGATTTGTCCACTAATGTGAAACTATATCTGTTTGATCTTGTATTTAGCTGAGACACTCTGAAGACCTGTCCCAGACCCGAGGAAGAGCTCTGTGTAGCTCAAAAGCTTGTCTCTCTCACCAGCAGCAGTTGGTCCAATAAAAATTATTACCTCACCCACCTTGTCTCTCTAATCTCAAGGATGCAGTAAAAATAGAACTTTTACTGTAAACCAGCTCTTCTTGCTAAACCTGGGCTGACCCAGATCAGGGGGAGCCCTTCCATTGATTTCCCTGGCTTTGGATCAAGCCCCTCTTCCTTAGGGTGGAGATTTTCAAATAGGCAATGGAGACTTGGATGATCTGTTCTTACTCATTTTAATGGAAAATGAGCATCCAAAGTCGACAGGTGACTTTTGAAATATCCACCTAAGTATATAACTTTCTTACTTCTTACAGAGAATATACTCCAAATTGACTCTAACAGATACTGTAACTGTACCCAATGCTAGCTTCCTTAATCATACATTCATCACATCTGTTCCATAGCCCATGGTGGAGTTATTCCAACCAGGGTATATCTAGAAGTGACAGTACAAGGCATCTCTGTGTAAAGGATAGCAATCCTAGCACATACTATTTCCCATGTTCCTTTCCTTTAAAGCTCACACCAGAGGAAGCCTTGCAGAGATTTGAGAAAAGTTGACTTATGCTATTAGGCTGTAGCTTTTAGCTGACTCAGCAGCAAACAGCAAAGGAAGAGGTTGCAGGATGGCTGACAAGAAATTACCTGATGGGTTACTAATGGCAGCTTCTACCCAGCTTGACAACTGATTTTCTCTTCCACTGTTTGCAGTTTCTAGGTGTAGAGGCTGAGATCAGGGTGTTCGAATGTTTCTATTGCGAACAGCGCAGGATGATGGGATAGAACCTTTGCTGTATGTCGGTGTAGGAGCTATGCTGATGTACAGCAGCTGAGGATCTGGCCCAGCAATTCCTTTGCTCTCAGAAAACAAGGGGTCAGATCTTGTTGCTACTGAAATAAGGTGAGGGGGAGGGGAAAGGACTACCCCGACTTCAGTGGGAGTAGAAGTAGGTCTTAAGAGTGGAACAATTGCCTTGATGCCAAGTAGCACCTTTAAGCTTTGTTGATAAAATTTCCAAGGAATGCACCGCAGTAAGGTGCAGCCGCACATGGTAGGTATTTACTGTGAGAGAAATTCAACTTCCTGAGCTTAACCCTACTGGGAGTTTTGCCGTTGACTTCAGTGTGAGCATAGGCTCGGAGGCTCATGAAACAAACCTTCGCAACAGCGCTGCCTAGTGGGGAGGGAAGGGTGTCAGTGCAACCTGGAACACTGCTCCCTGGAGGACTTCCTGCGTGGCCATATGCAACAGCTCTTTGGGTGCAAGGTGATGTAGGGCCAAAGGACCCACCGCCATGCAGAACCAGCTCTTCAGGACCTACCCCCAGAGCACAGGGATCACAAGCCCCATAAAGACTACTCCAGAACTGAGGCCAGAGCAGCAGTTACAGATCGGAGCCACTTTCCCTCTGCTGTCAAGGGCATGAAGTCCTTTGTCTCTCCTGAGCCCCACAAAGGATGTTCCCCAGCTCCCAACCCAGGTACTTGGGCTAAGAGCTGTGGCCCTTTGAACATACCGTTGGTCACCTAACTGAGATGCAGATGCAAATGACCCGATTTTCAAAGTCAAGGGGTGAGATTCCCTACAGTGTCTGCTGCTAAAGAAAACACAGGCCTGATCCTCAGGTGGATCCTCCTTCCCCTGGCAGCTATAGACCAATTTACACCAGCTGGAAATGTGTCCCTCTATGCAAAGGAGTTGCTAGATGCCTAACCTTATCCCTGATGCACCAAATCATACCCCTGTGTAGCCCTGGTGTGCCAGCTGGTAAATTGGTCCTACACCCCCAACCTATTGGTCAAGAGAACACTAGGCTGGAATCCTGCTCAGCCACCGAGTGGGGACATTGGGTGGAGAAAGATGCTTCCTTTGCCCCATTCCCTCGCCTCTCCCAGCGGACCTGGCTGTTGGTGTGGTACGATTTACACATCTCAGGCTAGAAGGGGAAAAGGAATGTTCCTTCTCGTCCCCATACATCTCTGGACTGTTTTCATTTCCCTGTCCAATCCATCAGGAACAGCAGCTTCCTTTGCCAAAGACACCTGCCACCCCTGTCCTTCTGCAGAGTATGACAATGAGCAGGGTCTGGCAGCATCAGCTCAATCCTGCAAGGTGCCGAGCAGTTTGGGTTGGTCCAACAGAACACATAAGCACATGCTTAATTTTATGCTGTCCCATTAGATTCAGTAGGGCTTAAAGTTAAAGTAGGACTGAGCCCTCAGCCCCTTCTTCCTGCTTGCCCCATTTTTGTATATGCACTTTCCCCCTGGAATTGCAGTAATTCTTTCTTTAGCGCTGGCAGGGTCTCTGAATCACAGCTTGTGATGGGGGTAGCTTGGGGGCACACTGCCCCAGCCAGTGCAAGCCTCATGCAGACACTAGGCCCCCAGGAGTTGTGCAGTGACACAGACACGACTATACCCTTGAGGGGCTGCAGCTTGTCCTCCACTCTACACTGGGAGGCCCGCTTTGCTGGCTGTGCAGGGTGGAGGAATGGCCCCATCAACACAGCCCGCAGGGGCTTAGAGCTGTTCACCCTCACTGAACCCTTAACACTCTCATAGAAGCATCTCGGAAAGGGCTCTAAAGATGTAATGCCCATCTAGGTGCTTATTAACAATGATTATTTCCATCTTTATTACAAAACACTTCTGCAAATCCAGGGGAATGCTTCCTGCTGGCTGCTGCTGCGGGGATGGTTTCCCCTCAGGTGAATAACTCAGAAGACAGACCCCGCCCCAAACACTCAACAAATGGCATGATTTGGGTGGGCGCCTAGCCCCTCTCTCTCTGTGCTTAATTCTTGGCCCCAGGGGGTGGGGGTGCTCAGCAGTCAGGCAGCAAACTAGAAAGCAGCAGCCTGTGGTGAGAAAACAGCCCCGCACAATGAAAAACCAGAAGGGGGGTGGAACCAATGAGCCCCAAACACAGAGAACATTCCTCATGCAGAAAGGGACTACCTTGTCTTCTGCTTTCTGGTGTCCCGGTCTGTAATTCAGGCCTGGGGGTGTTTCATCAGGGAGGCTTGTAAAAGGAGCCGAAAATGTGGCTGTAAAAAGGTATGCGGGTGTGTGGTGTTTGTTCCCGACCCTGACGCTCAACAGATAAATACTTCGTCCAAGCTGTGCCCTTAGATAAGCACAGCACAGCTACCACTGAAGTAAACAGGAATTGCACGTGCATGCCTGAGGGTGGAATTTGGCTCGTAACCAAGCTTTAATGTCAGTACGGTGTGGCTGAACTCTACACTTGACTTCATATTTTCCAGAGCTGTGCCAGCACTATGTGTTCCCCGCCTCCACCCCAGCAGATGTTTCACAGGGATAATTTGACCTACTGACGCTGTTCCAAAGCAGACCTCTTCTGAGGCAATGGTAAATGGTTTCAAGATAAAAGGAAAGGAGGACTTGTGGCACCTTAGAGACTAACCAATTTATTTGAGCACAAGCTTTCGTGAGCTACAGCTCACTTCATCGGATGCATTCAGTAGAAAATACAGTGGGGAGATCCGATGAAGTGAGCTGTAGCTCACGAAAGCTTATGCTCAAATAAATTGGTTAGTCTCTAAGGTGCCACAAGTCCTCCTTTTCTTTTTGTGAATACAGACTAACACGGCTGCTACTCTGAAACGATTTCAAGATACAAAGTGATATGAAAAATTTGCAGTCTCTTCCCTAGATGGTTAGGATTAGAGAGACCCAGTGTGGTAATAAGAGGTAGAACAGGCTGTGTTCTATTCATCTGTGAGCTGGAGAATCAGCGAGAACGATCAGGACTGTCCGTGCCTAGCAACCCGAGCAAAAAATCCGCTTTCTGGTCATTTGTTCTGTCCCCTCTCTGATATCTATCCAGCTGGGATTTTGAAAAGCCCTCAACATTGACCTAACTTTACTTACATTAAACTAAAGCTGGGATGGAAACCGTTTTTCTGTCCCATGAAAAATTTTGAGGTTCAGACAATTTTTCCTGCCTCCAAGTGAGATGGAAAGTCAAAATCTCAAAAACTTTGGTGAAGAGACAAACTCAAAAAAATTCAGCTAGGGTTAAGAAAACAAAAAAAACCAAACTTTTTTCCATAATTTTGAGACATTTTGTTTCCATTTTGACCTTTTTTCTTTGGTTTATGCTTTTTTTAGCATAATTTTTGAAGTGAAAAGTCATTTTGAACCAAAACCCCCCAGACCTTTTCATTCCAAAAACAAACAAACCAACCAACCTCAATAGGTTTTCAGGTTGGAAAATTGGTTGAAACCAACTGTTTCTAGCAAACTGGTTCCATGTAGATGAATTGGCAAAAAAAATTTCTGAAAAATCCCTGACCAGCTCTACATGCAAGACAGTGGAAGTTGAGCCTTTGCTTTCAATGGGAGCAAGACTAGTTCTACACAAAATGCTTTGGAAAATCCCACCTTCCATGTACAACACTGGTATTTCATTTCGTCCACTGAATGATGCTGAACCAGTGCCCTTCGTAATACCAGCACAAATGGAGATCAGTGATGCCTGGTCCTATTCCTGGATGCCTGGACCAATCCCCAATTTTTGCTCCAGATCCCTAAATGGCCCCCTCAGGGATTGAACTCACAACCCGGTTTCCCCCGCGCCCCTCCTTTCGAACCTTCCCGAAACACCCCCCACCCCCGCGGTGCCAAGGTCAACCCTTCCACAACTTTCCCCCCCACCCCCCCCACCCCCGCGCCCCCAGCCCTGCATCTCCTTCCGCGCTTTCCCCCCCCCCCCCCCACCCCCCGCGTAGCCCTAACCCCCCCGTTTAACAAGTAAACCGACCGGGGGGGGGGGGGGGAAACGGACGCCCGCAAATGCTAGCCCCCCGCCTTTAGCCTAAATAAGTTCCAATTTGCAAAGTTCCATTCGGTTTCCGCGGGTCTGGTTTGAGTTTTTGTTTAGGCCTCGTCGTGTTGGTGCCGGGTTGGGTTCTCCCGGTTTTGATGTTTATTCTTGCTCTGTTTGGTCCTTTTTCTTTCGAGGCGTCCGTTTGCCAAGCGGCGGGGGCGGGCACGAGCTCCGGTGGGGGGCCCGGGGGCGGTTTAGGCCCGTGTGGTGTCCCCTGAAAGTTGTGGGCCTTGGCGTTTGTTGCAAGGTGTTCCGGGTTGGGTTCGTGTGTGGTTGGGTTGTTGGTGGTTTGCTCGGTTGCGGGGCGTCGGGCAAGGCGCCGTCTCCCAAGCGTGGGTGTTGGGTCTCTTAGGGGTTGTGTCCTTAATATGGTTGGGGGGTTTTGTTGGGGGCTGAGGTGCCGTGCTTCTGTTTTTTCTTTGTTAGGCCGTCCGTAGTGGTACTTCTGGGAACTCTTCGGCTCTATCATCTGTTTTTTACTTCGCAGGTGGGTGGTTGTAAGAAAGCGACGAGTCTGTAGGTGTTTGTCTCTGTCGAGGGGTTGGAGCAAAGGGTTGTCCAGGCGGCTGTAGACGTGGATCGTGTGGTGTGGTCAGGGTGAAAGCGGAGGCAGAGGAGGAAAGGGTCAGGGTTTCCGGAAGGGTGGTGTTTTGTGGCCTTGTTTATTAGCACGAGGTCCAGGAAGTGGTCTCTTGTGTGGACGGACCAGGCTGAGGTTGGGGTGGGTTTGTTGGGGGGTTTCTTGGTGTGAAGTTCATATGAGGGTGGGGTGGGGGGAAAAAATGTGAGATATCCCAATGAGTTAGGATTTGGGGGTGTTTTGGTTTTGGGAGTTGGTGGGGCCGGTGGGTGGTGGTTTGGAGTGGGGGGGGGGGGGGGGGGTAAATGGGTGGGGTTTGTTTTGTTGGAGATAGTTAGTGGGTAGGGGTGGGGGTTTGTTTGGTTTAGGAAGTTTTTGGCAATGTTGTTGGTACTCTCAGTGGGAATAGGGATTAAAAGTGTTGGTTTATCTATTGTATTTGTTTTGTAGTGAGGTTTTTTGAGGTGGTAGGTTATGGCAGGTCAATTAGAGTTTTGATTAGGAAAATCTTTTTGTAGTGTTGGGGGTCTGTGGTAGTATGTTGTTAGAGGATTTTGAATATTCCTTGGGGGAAAATAGGTTACAATATATGTTGTGGGGGTGGGGGGATAAAATTTTGGGTGAGAGTATAGTTGGATAGGTTAAAATATTGTAGGTGGGGTGGAAATTGCTTGTAGTGTAGTAGTTTAGAAAGTTTATGTTTTTTTTTTTGTAGAGAAGAAAGTGGTGAATAAGTAAATATGTAAATAAAGTGTTAAATAAAATAAATAAAAAATTTTATCTATTAGAAAAAATACAATTTATTATATAATTGATATTGTAAATATTTAAAAGATAAATAAATAGATTAAAATTATAAATTATAAAAATAATTTTGTATAAAATAAGTGTATTTAAAAAAAAATAATAAGGATGTGAATTGAATTATTTGAATTGGTATATTAATTTAGTAAATAGAGTGGGGTATTTATGAGTTGTTTTTGTTTTTCACCCCCCAGATGTTGTTATTGGTTTAAATTGGAGAGTGGATTTAGATATATTAAAGGAGGTGGTTTGTGTGTGTATGGGGGTGGGGGGGGGTGGAAAATGTCTATGAGAAATAGGATGTTATGAGAGTTGTATTGGATGGGAAGGAGAGTGAATTTGTGTGGGGGGTGGAGGGTGGAAAATGGATTTGTGTGGAAATGATGTTGATCTTAGATAAGTATTACAGAGGAAGTGGGGTGGGAGGAGGTATTGTTTATATTTTGTGTGTATATAAAGTTGATTTAAACATTGATGAAGTGAGTTATAAAATAAAATTGGTATTAGAATATAACCCTGGGTTTAGCAGGCCAATGCTGAAACCACTGAGCTATCCCTCCCATCCCATGATGTGAGTTCTGGGCACTCCCTGATGATTCCTGGGGCTTATCTAGAAGAACACTTAAGTTTGTGGCAAGCTCCCTCCCTAGCCTGCCACACTAACTATTTGTATGGACCCTGCTGCTACATACAAAAAGTTTCCCAGTGCACTTGAATCTACCCTTCTTTGAAACAGGAATCGACTATCCTAAATCTCTCTTTGCTCAGAATTTTAAACTTTATAAGCTCATCTCCAGCTAGGACTCTACCCATCCTCAAATTTTCAAGGCATAATTTTGCCTCCATAATAACCACTTTATTTTTTTAGGCCAGATTTAGGCACCCAAGTCTATCTATGTAACCACCCAAACAAAGGTCAAAATGAATGAACATTGAAGTCAGTGGAGAAGCTCCCGCTGACTTCAAAGGGTGTTTGAAGTAAGTGGTAATTAGCTAAGTACTACCATTCAAACTTGCAAATTGTTGAGGGTGGGAAATTATTTGTAGGTGTAAAACAGTGCTCACAACAATTCAAGGCCATCACTAGAAATCTTCCAATATATGCTATTGATGCAGGATTTTAAGGTCAGCACAGCTAATGTTTTCAACCGCTAGTACCAGCCAGTTGTTCAAGAAAAATATTAGAGTTGGCCTTTCTTTTATAGTAATTATCACACAATCTGAATATGACGATTCAAATAAATGATAGATGTTAAAGAAGTTTTGCTAATAAAGGTCAAATAAAAGGTTTCTTTTTTTCTCTTTTTAATGCCCTTCATATTATAAAAGCAATTTTCAAATGCAGCAGATATTCAAATGAAATCTGCGCATTCTTTACGAAAGCCTTGGAGAATGAGAATGTTGTTGCTCCAAGCTGTTGTTTGCCTTGTAAGTTTCCAGTGCGTCTTGGAATGTCTTATTTTCCTTTTCATATGTTCAACACTGAAAAATTCAGAATCTTCTGTTTCCACTACAGATATCTTCATTAATAATATTATGCTTTTCAGCACCCCAGGACAGGATTTCATGTCCCTAATGAGCATATGCTAGACATCCGGATATTTCAACTTGTGATGCTTTTAGTAGACATAGCCTGAGGCGAGAATTGGAGCAGGACATGGGAGTAGTTGAATGCAATTTCATTTAAAACAAACATGGAGGGGGGAGAATTCCTGTTTCCAAGAATTATCACCTATGGGTCAGCTCTGCTACAAACTATGGGGGTGAACCAAAGTGCATATTTTAGCAAAGCTGCTACTGTGCTTTTATATACACACAATAGCAGCCTGATCCAATGTCCATTGAAGTCTAATGGAAAGTTTCTCATACATGTCTATAGGAATACATGGGTATAGATGTTAAATTAGGTTCTATTTTTTTTTCCAGGGTTCACCTGTAAGTTGAGCACAGGGACAAGTTCTGTATTTTTATTCCTCACCCTTTGTGAAAGTAGCCTTCCTATTTTATTTCCTTGATTGTCAATGTTACTTTTAAAGATGCTTCTAAATTCATTTTCTGGAATTATTTAAAATCTTTCTTGTCCTGACCATTTGAAAGTGGATGCATTTTAAATGAACCAGAAGAACAAAAGGAGATCTTCTTCTCTTCTCTTTGATCCCCATCCATCAGCTCAACAGCAACAGTAACAAATGAAGTCTTTCCACCGCTTTCTATCTTGCACTAGCTTCATGTTTTCATTGATCTTTAAGCATTTTTGTTCTATGTTATTTTTCACCATGTTTACCCAATACATCTTCAGTCTTCCTCTATTTCTAGTTCCTGGCACTCTGGCACGTATCGTTATTTATGGTATCCCCTTAGGGGTCCACTCTTGACGTGTGTCCCTCTTTCTTGAATCTCGTGTAACAGCATTATATCTTGCCCTAGCTCTTTAATTATCTCTTCATTTTTTATATTTTTTGCAGCCTTGAAACTTAGCATTCCTCTCAGCCAGTTCATTACCTAGCGTTACCTAGGGGGGGGGGGGATATCCCTTTTTTTTGGGGGTTTGGGGGGGGGGGGTGAAAGCCGGGCTGGGATGTGGCAGCGGAGGGGTGGAGGATCAGGGGCCTCTTCATGATTTCTGCAGTCAAAATCTGTCAGTCATCGGCTTTCTTCAGACTCTAGCATTCTGACCCAGACAGCAGTATCTGCATGACAATTGTCTCATATACATGGGGGTTTTGTTTTTATTGAAATGTCTTTAGCCTTCCAGATCTTGCAACGTTTTCCGAATGTAGTAGAGGCTAGACCAAGTCTTCTTTTGAGGTCATCTTCACAATTACAGGTTTCAGAGTAGCAGCCATGTTCGTCTGTATCCGCAAAAAGAAAAGAAGGACTTGTGGCACATTAGAGACTAACAAATTCATTTGGGCATAAGCTTTCATGAGCTAAAACCCACTTTGTCAGATGCATGGAGTGAAAATTACAGTAAACAGAATGACAGGTTTCAGAGGAACAGCCGTGTTAGTCTGTATTCGCAAAAAGAAAAGGAGTACTTGTGGCACCTTAGAGACTAACCAATTTATTTGAGCATGAGCTTTCGTGAGCTACAGCTCACTTCATCGAAAGCTCATGCTCAAATAAATTGGTTAGTCTCTAAGGTGCCACAAGTACTCCTTTTCTTTTTGAGTAAACAGAATATATATCATAGTACATGAAAAGATGGGAGTTGCCTTACCAAGGTGTGGGGGGGTCAGTGCTAACAAGCCAATTCAGTTAAGGTGGAAGTGGCCTTTTCTCAACAGTTGACAAGAAGGGGTGAATACCAATTGCATTGGCCTCGTTAGCACTACAAAGGTAATTTTTCCTCCCTTAGTATTCACCCCTTCTTGTCAACTGTTGAGAATGGGCCACTTCCACCTTAATTGAATTGGCTCCTTAGCTCGTTGTTGAGGGTGGGAAAATTTTTGTGCATGTAAAACGGTGCTCACAACAGTTCAAGGCCATCACTGAAAATCTTCCAATATATGCTACTGATGCAGGAGTTTAAGGTCAGCACTGCTAATGTTTACCCCGACTTGGTAAGGCAATTCCCATCTTTTCGTGTGCTATGATATATATTCCACTTCCTGTATTTTTCACTCCATGCATCTGATGAAGTGGGTTTTAGCCCACAAAAGCTTATGCCCAAATAAATTTGTTAGTCTCTAAGGAGCTGCAAGGATTCCTCGTTGTTCTTTATACTAGTCCAACAAGGATATATTACATAAAACCAAAATCAAACACTAAACCAAACAAAAATCAAACCCTTTGTTAAAAGAATGTTAAAGTTGCAAAGACACGTACTCAAAAGTTAGGAAATACCAGAATTAAGGTTGCCTGGGCAACCTCAATTCTGCTCCCACTGTGTATGCATTATGAAAGAGTCTTTAATTACATGATCACATACTATTTTCCCCCACAGAACCCCTGTTTTATCTATAAGCTATAGTCATATAGGCCACGAAGTATACACACACACACACATACCATATGTTGAGCCCTTCCGTTACAGAATGGGAGATCTACCTGAGTATTCAGAATTTAAGGCCTGATCTAAAGTCCACTGAAGTCAATGAAAGTCCTTCACTGGGCATTGGATAGACTTTTAGGTCAGAATTCAGGACTGGGTGCATTAAACATACCCAAACCTGTGAGTTTCAAGGCATCTTTAACTCCCATTGAAGCCAATGTGGTTGAGAGTACCCAGCAATCCTCAACAGGTGCTCACCACCACTCCCAAGTGTCAGGCCACTGTAGCACTTCTGTGAACAGCATTCACAGCACCAGTCTAGGGAGTAAAAAGCACACGATATGTTATAACAGCTGGACAAAAGCCAATTTCACTGGCAATTCATTGTCCCCACAGCCCCACCTCATTTTGCACAGGTGTCCAGCAGAGTTTAGGATAATATTCTGAGAAAACTTAAGCATAACACTGTATGGAAATAACATAGCAGATGCCACAGCAATGGGAAGGCTCTCAGTACCTGGAAGGATGTGGTAAGCACACTGCAAATATCAGGCAATGCGGAGAGACGAAGCTTCCAGTTCTATGTACAAGCAGCCTCTTTTCCTAATGTTATTGTTTCTGACATTCAGATGACGATGAAGATAACTCTGCAGTTTCTTTATAACCGAAGCAGGAGGGCAGCTGGGGTTGGTTCTAGCAGAAATCCTACAGTGACACAGCTAGACACAATGGCTTTAGGGATATAACTACTTGTCTTATTCTAATCAAGTTCCTAGTAACATGGTAGCAGAGATTGGCTCTTTGTGTGTTCATTTTCACCAACGTCCTAAGACAATGCTCAGGAATGTCCCCTGAGCACAGGTACCTAATGAGTAGAATGGGTTGATAAATGGGAAAAAGTGTTGTGAACAATTTATCCCCTTTCTTCATTAAAAAATGTCAAAATTGTCACCCAGCTGTACTAATGACATTTATGGAGCCTAAATTCTCAGTGTTACCAATTTTCTGCCTGATCCTTTTCCACTGACTTCAACAGGCGCCGGACGACGCCCTTAGGTCCCAACTAATCAAATACCCAGACATGTGCTTCACTTGAAAAACATTGGTAGCCCCACTGAGGTCAATGGGGATACTCACATGCTTTGAGTTATGACCATGCTTAAGGATCATGCTGAATCTGGCCTTCATACTGTTCCTTTCCATAAAATTATTAAGAAAGTGGTATTATTTTGCTGTTCTCAATGGCTGCTCTTTTCCTCACTGTGACCAGAATTAGCACTCTTGGTGTCTAGCCAGCCTCCACTAAATAGCACAAGTACTTAAAAATGATTCTCAGCGTCTACATTTTGGGGACAAAGAACCAAGTTTGCCTCACCTTCACAATCAATAGATGATCCCAGATGGATAATGAGTTTTTTGACACCTAGGCAGTCTTGGCTGCCTTTAATTGTTGCAAGCTCTCTTTTAATCTATACAATTTGAGGATATTTTGTCTAAAAGACCTTGTTTTGGGGGGTAGGAAATAAATTCAGACATTTCCACTGCAATTCAGATTCAAAAGGTGAACTGCTGAGATTGTATGGACTCAATTAACATAATTATACTAATTCTGCAAACACCCCGTTGCTTCATTGTACTATGTTAGCTGAGAAAACATCCTCACATAGCCAGCTCCTTCCTGTTTCATTTTGGTATTGTTCCGATTAAGCATTTACATCCCCAAACATTTTAAAAGGTCTGATCCTGTTCCCTTCAGAGTCAATGACAAAACACCCACTGAGTTGGCAGGGAACAAGACTGGGCTCTACATGTTTTATTTTTAGAACAAATCACATGCTTATCTACATTTTTATCGTGAATTCTAAATGCAACCCATTTCGCCACCTAAACGATCAGGCAGTTTTTGTTTTTTTTCCCCACCCCGCTATTATCTTTGTAATAATTTAGCATATAAATGGAAGCCAAATTATTCTGTCTCCTGTCCAGATTGACAGATGAGAAACTGTTCCTTAATTTTCAAAGAGCAGCACTGATGAGTTTCACTGTCTAATGGGAGATGCTGATGGGTTTTTCAACGAAGAGTGTCAGATTGATGAGTTTAGACTGATGACCCTTCATGAAAGGAGATGCCAGCTCCAGTGGGGCAGCACATGCTTAGTAGAAAGTATTTAAACACATGATGGATAAAGATTTTTAACTCTAGAAAGGCATGTATCTAATGTAAACGATATTTCACAAAACAAGTCCAGAGACTGTTTGGAGAGATTTTTAAAGGAAGTTTGAAGAAGTTTGCTCTGTTCATTCTTACACATAAAACCTCAGTAAACCAGATTTAACTGTAGCTTGCAAATTACATCAGTAAACTAAGGTTAATAGATTAATGATTTTCTCATGAATGTGATGTATTGGCAAGACACAAACATGAAGGGCAAGAAGGGTGTACAGTAATTGCATAAAAAACAGATTGTTGTATACGTTAAGACTATGTTACTTCTTGGGTCTTAAATGACTGGTAGGATGGATTTTGCATTGGTGATGATAGAGACCTGCTAACTCAGGCTTACTTCTGGAGCTCAAGCGATTGTTGAATGCAGGAAAGTACAAGAGAAGAAGAGTTCACGGGAGAGGAAAGATTATAATAACCGAGAGTCATTACCCATTGGACCAGGGATAGATTCTTCCTCACTTGATGGAGGAATTTTCTGCAGCACTCAATGTTGGCCTCACTAACATGTTCTCATTGAAGCCAATGAGGGATTTTATCATTGACTTCTCTGGTCGCAAAGTTAGGCGAATACTGAGCACTTTTGAAAATCCCAGCCAAAGTCTTTAGAACAAGATGGGAGGTCATATTAAAAAGATATAGTCTTTTAAGTTATTGGGCTTGAGGCAGGTATTAGCAGGTTCCATTTGATATCTTGTATTATGCTGGAGGTCAGATTAAATGCTCTGGCCTTCCAAGCTATGAATCTATAAAAGGCTTAAATGGGAGACAGGGATCCATGTATTAAGAATGGGAAAAATCCTGCTTTCATTTACATTCAGAGCTGGTTGAATTATTCACTTCAAGCCACTAATCCATTCAGTTTGGCCCTCTCTCTTCTCCACTTAAACAGATCACAATATCTATGAATCAGTCCCATTTGTTTGATGCTTTGTGCAGACATGTTTCAGCCTATGGATTCCTTGAATGCTTTTTGACGCAATCATTTATTTGATATTTGGAATTCGCTCCGTGAGCTGTGATTGGACACAAGTCACATGGGTTTGTTTCTGTTTCCTTATTGGAAGAGCAAACTTTGATATATTAGAAAGTATTCAGCAATTTGACACTGCTAAACAAAAGATCCAATTGCAATATCTAGCCCTCAGGGGCGTTATGTGGACTTGCAACATTCCCTGTAGATTTTTGGGCCCCCTAATCAATGCATGGATTAAAATATAATCACTGAATTGTACTTATGGACTGGTATAATCTTGCTCCATGTACAATAGCTGGGATCCATCTCCCACTATCTTACTCCAGATATTTCAAAAGGTCACTCCCTTCCCCTAAGTTCCATCATAGAATCATAGAATATCAGGGTTGGAAGGGACCTCAGGAGGTCATCTAGTCCAACCCCCTGCTCAAAGCAGGACCAATCCCCAATTAAATCATCCCAGCCAGGGCTTTGTCAAGCCTGACCTTAAAAACTTCTAAGGAAGGAGATTCTACCACCTCCCTAGGTAACCCATTCCAGTGTTTCACCACCCTCCTAGTGAAAAAGTTTTTCCTAATATCCAACCTAAACCTCCCCCACTGCAACTTGAGAACATTACTCCTTGTCCTGTCCTCTTCTACCACTGAGAATAGTCTAGAACCATCCTCTCTGGAACCACCTCTCAGGTAGTTGAAAACAGTTATCAAATCCCCCCTCATTCTTCTCTTCTGCAGACTAAACAATCCCAGTTCCCTCAGCCTCTCCTCATAAGTCATGTGTTCCAGTCCCCTAATCATTTTTGTTGCCCTCCGCTGGACTCTCTCCAATTTATCCACATCCTTCTTGTAGTGTGGGGCCCAAAACTGGACACAGTACTCCAGATGAGGCCTCACCAATGTCGAATAGAGGGGAACGATCACGTCCCTCGATCTGCTCGCTATGCCCCTACTTATACATCCCAAAATGCCATTGGCCTTCTTGGCAACCAGGGCACACTGCTGACTCATATCCAGCTTCTCGTCCACTGTCACCCCTAGGTCCTTTTCCTCAGAACTGCTGCCTAGCCATTCGGTCCCTAGTCTGTAGCAGTGCATTGGGTTCTTCCGTCCTAAGTGCAGGACCCTGCACTTATCCTTATTGACCCTCATCAGATTTCTTTTGGCCCAATCTTCCAATTTCTCTAGGTCCCTCTGTATCCTATCCCTGTCCTCCAGCGTATCTACCACTCCTCCTAGTTTAGTATCATCCGCAAATTTGCTGAGAGTGCAATCCACACCATCCTCCAGATCATTTATGAAGATATTGAACAAAACCGGCCCCAGGACCGACCCTTGGGGCACTCCACTTGATAACGGCTGCCAACTAGACATGGAGCCATTGATCACTACCCATTGAGCCTGACAATCTAGCCAACTTTCTACCCACCTTATAGTGCATTCATCCAGCCCATACTTCTTTAACTTGCTGACAAGAATACTGTGGGAGACCGTGTCAAAAGCTTTGCTAAAGTCAAGAAACAATACATCCACTGCTTTCCCTTCATCCACAGAACCAGTAATCTCATCATAGAAGGCGATTAGATTAGTCAGGCATGACCTTCCCTTGGTGAATCCATGCTGACTGTTCCTGACCACTTTCCTCTCATGTAAGTGCTTCAGGATTGATTCTTTGAGGACCTGCTCCATGATTTTTCCGGGGACTGAGGTGAGGCTGACTGGCCTGTAGTTCCCAGGATCCTCCTTCTTCCCTTTTTTAAAGATTGGCACTACATTAGCCTTTTTCCAGTCATCTGGGACTTCCCCCGTTCGCCACGAGTTTTCAAAGATAATGGCCAATGGCTCTGCAATCAAAGCCGCCAATTCCTTTAGCACCCTCGGATGCAACTCGTCCGGCCCCATGGACTTGTGCATGTCCAGCTTTTCTAAATAGTCCCTAACCACCTCTTTCTCTACAGAGGGCTGGCCATCTACTCCCCATGTTGTGATGCCCAGCGCAGCAGTCTGGGAGCTGACCTTGTTAGTGAAGACAGAGGCAAAAAAAGCATTGAGTACATTAGCTTTTTCCACATCCTCTGTCACTAGGTTGCCTCCCTCATTCAGTAAGGGGCCCACACTTTCCTTGGCTTTCTTCTTGTTGCCAATATACCTGAATAAACCCTTCTTGTTACTCTTGACATCTCTTGCTAGCTGCAGCTCCAGGTGCGATTTGGCCCTCCTGATTTCATTCCTACATGCCTGGGCAATATTTTTATACTCTTCCCTGGTCATATGTCCAACCTTCCACTTCTTGTAAGCTTCTTTTTTATGTTTAAGATCCGCTAGGATTTCACCGTTAAGCCAAGCTGGTCGCCTGCCATATTTTCTATTCTTTCGACTCATTGGGATAGTTTGTCCCTGTAACCTCAACAGGGATTTCTTGAAATACAGCCAGCTCTCCTGGACTCCTTTCCCCTTCATGTTAGTCCCCCAGGGGATCCTACCCATCCGTTCCCTGAGGGAGTCGAAGTCTGCTTTCCTGAAGTCCAGGGTCCGTATCCTGCTGCTTACCTTTCTTCCCTGTGGGGAAGATATTTGATATCATGATATTTGAGGTCTGCTGGGACAAAGCCTCTGTCTATCTCTGGGACATGGCTTGATGAGATTGGCAGCAAAGCATTATCTGTTGCAAACCCCTGCTTCTGGAACTTGATCCCTCAGAGCTGGAATTTGATGAGTTTCATATCATGCAACAAAGATACCGGCTTTTGGCTGAACATTTAGTTTGGCTGTTTGGTTTGTTTATTGTTGTCTTGATTTGTTTAATACACTGGGGTGGGTAGGAAATTTTATGAAGAACAGGAACTTTTCCAGCTCTCTTCATTTCTGTATGTTTTAATAACTAATGCTGCCATACAATGCCCAGATGCAGTATTTGAGTTACAGTGCTATATAACACATAACGGGCCAGATTGCGCCTAAAAGACACTCAAGCCAGCGTAACGGTGGGACGCATTTTTGCAGGGGCAATTTAATAGGCAATACCTGAAAATTTGTCCCCTGTGAAACACAGGAAAATAACCAAATGGACACAACAGAAAGACTCAGGAAACACAGGCAGCTGCACTTGCAGCTGAATGGAATAAAGAATTCATGGAGTGTCACACCTTGTGGTCCTTACCCAGGCAAAAACTCCCGGAAGAGCATGGGAGTCTTTGCCACTGTAGGGAATTCAGCCCAAAAACAACAGAGTATACTTCTTGTGCATAGCGGAGGAGGTTTACAGTTCTACATCTGCTCCAGATTATGGCGGTCACCTCTCTTTCAGACTCAGAGCAGGTCATCTCATTTCATGAGTGCAAACCCACTGTGCTCATCAGCCTCTTACATGCCCAACACTTCGACCAGTCATGGTAGCTTTTTATAATGCCCTCAGTCCTATTAATATAGCAGGTCTGGTAGTTTCCTCACATGCTCGTTCGCCGAGTTGTCAGCTGAGATCCTCAAGCAAGGAAGTGGCCTATTTATGACAATGAAGTTACTTTTGATTTACATCAGTGAAAGTGAGGAGGGAAGTGGGCCAAATTTCTGATCCAAATTCTCTACTGCTGTGTAAATTGGAGCTCCAGTTTACCCAATGAAAGGATAACAACCCCATCTCACTGTGGGAGGAGGGCACGTTAACGCAAAAGCGGAGACTCTCCTATTGGCAGTCACTGAAAGCTGTGGCGGTTATAGACACATAACCATGTTCACTGGCGTAGTTCCACTGACTTCAGCAGAGCAATGCCAATTTCCACCAGTGGAGGATCTGGCCCACATTCTTCCAAAAGCTTTAAAAGTCCAGTGTCAAAATTAAATCTTAAAGCAGAGATACAATAATACCTTATCAAAAAGCACTTCTATGTCAAGGGCTGGAGATAGGGCATCTGCTTGTTATCTGAATCAGAAGGGCCCTTGGGAATGCCAGGAATGATGGAGAGTTACTCATATACCTTTATAATTAAAGCGAGGAGGATTTGATCTGGAATTAATATTTGGAAGCATCCCTTTGTAGCTTGATATTGCAGTAACCTAGGGAAACGTTTCAGGATTCACACGTTTAGGCACCGTTATATAAAATGGAAGAGTGTTCTTATAATATATTGCTATATAATGGAAGAGTGTTCTTTGTTGATGTGCATCTGGCAAAAAGAAAGGCAATACAGTTTGAGCTTGGGGGGAAATGTAGTGAGGCGGTGTGGCCTCCCACAGATGCAGAGGGAGAGGAACCCCTCACTGAGCCCTGGTGGGTGGAGCCAGGTCATGCTTACCCCTCCTACAATGGGTGGGACAGGATGTATTAAAGGCGGGTCTGGGAGCACAGTTGGGCTGGAGTGGACCTGGTTGTAATAAAAGTGTGCAGATTGCATGGAATGGGGTAAACCCTTCATCAGTGCACAGCTTGAATGGGATCGGGTAATGGTGTGTTTGGAAGAATCCTATTCCTAGACCTTTCTGCAGATATTTTAGAGACCAACCCCCCTTCCCCCCCCGCCCTCAAGTGCAACTCCATGGGAGGAGAGGATCTGAGGCTGTGTGGGTATGTGCCTCAGCTCCAGTGAGTTTACTGTGCTCTGATATAGAGGGGACAGGTGCAGGCTACAGACAGGGGCTGGAAGCAGTGGGCCTGCCAATGTGTTACCATTGCCTTTCACAGGTCTGGGATGTTCTGGGAACTATCACAGTCTTGGTGCTTCTGTGGGAGGACCTGGGCTTTGGGTGTCTTCCTTCTTCGCATAAACAGACTCTTCCCAGCTACTCAGGTTGTACCCTGATGGAATGATATCCCCCATCCTATACAATTTGTCTTATTAGTCAACCAACAGACGTAATTATATAAACAATACAACAACAATCCAGGTGAAGGGAGCCGCTGTACTATACAAAGCATGGGAAACCTCCAAAAGCCAATCACCTTGTTCATTGCTCTAAAAGATCTGCTGTAGTTCAAAACAAGAATTCTTTCAGGGACGTTCTATGGCCTGTATTATGCAGGAGGGCAGACTTAGGCCTGGTCTACACTTGGGGAGGAGGGGTGGTCAATCGAAGTTACGCAACTTCAGCTTTGTGAATAATGTAGCTGAAGTCAAGATACTTAGATCTACTTACCGCGGTGTCTTCACTGGGGTAAGTCAATGGCTGACGCTCCTCCGTCGACTCCGCCTGTGCCTCTCGCCCTGGTGGAGTACCGGAGTCAATGAGAGAACGCTCAGAGGTCGATTTATCGCGTCTAGTCTAGACGCGATATATTGACCCCTGCTGGATCGATCTCTGCCTGTAGATCCAGCGGGTAATGTAGACAAGCCCTAACTGATTACAGTGGTCCTTGCTGGCCTTAAAACCTATTACCATCTGCCTTATCTTTCTTGACAGTAGAAGCTGCCAGTCAAATGCTTGCTACAAATTTACCTCCAAAATTAATTATTAGGCGGGCACGGTAATAATTTCCTTCTGAGAATAAACACAGGTTGAGCCAAGTGAAAAATCAGGAATAATTCAGTTGAAGTCAGTGGGGTTACACCAGAGTAAAAAATAGTGGAACTGAGTACAGAATCGTACCTGGTAACTTTGGCTTATGTCCAACCAGGGAAGCCAATAGCGAAATATCAGTTTATCTCAATTTACTGTTGCATTAACTATCATATTAGATGATAAAGAGGGGAAAACTTCATTGTTTTGTATTTTCTCCAAACGCTACGGCTTCTCATTAGTTGTCCCCCCCTTTCCCCCTCCCGGGGTTTTTTGTTTTGTTTTGTTGGTTTTTTTGTTGGTTTGGATTTTTTAAGTAAATGCTCTTTTTTTTCAGCAGTTTGACTTTTTCCTCTGAATTCCTGATCTCAGATACTCAAAAGGACATGGTCAGCTTCTTCTTATGATTTTAAATTGCAAGATTATCTGATTAGAAGTTATAATCTGTAATTTGGCTTCGAAGGGCCACATTCAGATATACATTTTAAAATATGTAATCCATATACATTTAATATACATTTTAAAAATAATAAACATGATGATGATGCGGAGATATAATGGTAATTAAAGTCAATGGAACTAAACTGATTTATACCAAATGAGAATCCTGTCCAAAATAGGCATCACTTTTTTGTCCCCATACTGACTTTCCAAGAATAATCACACTGCCCAGATACTCTTAATTTCATCATCCATCAAAAGATGTTACAGGTAAGTGATCATAATAAACAGTAGGTGGGTTTCCCTGATGACCAAGAGAATTTGCACTATGTGCTGGCTGTTTCTTTCCCAAGCATTATATTGATACAAAATCACTACCATCCACCCAGTTCTAATTAGATATTTTATGAATGCTTTCAGAGTAGCAGCCGTGTTAGTCTGTATTCGCAGAAAGAAAAGGAGTACTTGTGGCACCTTAGAGACTAACCAATTTATTTCAGCATAAGCTTTCGTGAGCTACAGCTCACTTCATCAGATGCATCCGATGAAGTGGGCTGTAGCTCACAAAAGCTTATGCTCAAATAAATTGGTTAGTCTCTAAGGTGCCACAAGTCCTCCTTTTCTTTTTGCGAATGCTAAATCAGAGATCTCACTGAAGTGCTACATTTCATGTTACAGAGGTTAAAATACTATCGCACCCTTCAATAGGGGAGCTGTAGTCATACATCATCCAAGCCGTTTCATCTATTTAACTTTTCTATATTCTATTCTATTTATAGCTGGAGATCTCGGGGGTTCTTCAGCTCCAGTAGATGTGGCAGTCATTGGAGGTAAGTATTGAAAGTTCCATTAGTACAGCATTTCTCAAAATGGGGTCTGTGGACCGCTGGGGATCTGCAAGGGTACTCCAGGGGGTCCACAGGCCCTGCTGATCAACTCCTCCGCTTCCCTCCTTCAACTCCTCCCCCTCTCTCCCAGTGCCTCCTGCATGCCAGGGAACAGCTTTTCAGCAGCATGAAGGATTCACTGGGAGGGAGGGTGAGGAGCAAGCATGAGGCGCACTCAGGGAAGGGGGCAGAGAGGCAGGGAAGAGGAGGGGCAGGGGTACAATGGGGGTGGGAAGAGGTGGGGCTTTGGGGGAATGGGTGGAGTGGGGGTGGAGCCTGGGGCTAAGCGGTGAGCTTGGGGGGGTCTGTGAAATTTTTTTAATCAAAATGGGGGTTCTCGGGTTGCTAAAGTTTGAGAACCTCTGCATTAGAAGAAAAGAAAACAGGGCTCTTGTCGTCATCTTATAAAATCCCATGCTTGGTCAGCTTTTTATAGACAACACTGTGCAGGTACTATGAAGTATTCAAAAATGAAATCAGAAAAGTCCCAATCCAGCAAAACAGCACAGACTTAATTTGGATGTTTAATGCTGAATTTTAAATTTTCTGTAGTATTCACATGCGTAAACTTAAGCATGTGCTTAAATACATTGCTGAATTAGTGCACTCTCTCTCTCTCGCTCCCTCTCAGGAGACAGTGTGTTACTATGTTCTATAGAGTCACCGACTAGAAGGGTTAAATCTTCCAAGAAGCTTCAACCCAGCCTCTAATTTTTTACCCGTAGCCAACTGAGGAGAAAAGTGATAGAATTTAGACATCTAATGGCCTGAGGCCTGATTCTGATCTCATTTATGCCGGGGGAAGCAGGAGTGACTGGAAGAGGTGAATGGAGTTACACTGTGTGTGAGACTGGCATGAGAACAGAATCAGGACACTTAAATCCAACATTTGCACCTGCAGTTACTTCACCTGCCATTGCCCGTGCATCATTTATTACAGAGGTCACATTTCAGGTGCAGAATTAGGGGGAATTTTAAATATATGGCCATGCTTTCCCGGAGGGAATAAAATATTCCAGGATCTGCCTGGATGTTAGGGTTTCGATGCACAGGGGCTGTCCAGATGTTAATGGTAATGATAACACCTCGCTCTTCTATAGCTAGATAAACTCAGACTAGCAATAAATGTATATTTTTACCAGTGAAGGTAATTAACCATTGGAACAATTTACCAAGGGTCATGGTGGGTTCTCCATCACTGACAATTTTTAAATCAAGAGGAGATGTTTTTTCTAAAAGATCTGCTCTAGGGATTATTTTGGGGCAGTTCTCTGGCCTGCGTTATACAGGAGGTCAGACTAGATAATCACAAAGGTCCCTTCTGGCTTTGTATTCGCTTTGGCACAATATGTCTGCAGAATTTCCAGTCTTGGAGCGGGATGATGCCACTGAGCTGGTAATTCATTGCTTGCACTCCATTACAGCTCACCTGTACCCCAAAATCCAGCCCTGGGAAGCGGAGAAGGAGGTGAAAAGGGTGATGTTTAGCCTTCCCCTGACTGGTATCTGTCTTTCACATACCTCACGGTGCATCTGGAAGGGATATGTATGGCCACTAGAAACCATTTCCCTCTCGTCTCCGAAGAGAACGACTTTATTACCTTCAAAAAGAAAAGGAGGACTTGTGGCACCTTAGAGACTCGCAAATTTATTTCAGCAGAAGCTTTCGTGAGCTACAGCTCACCTCATGGGATATTCAGGGTGACTCCAGTCAGTGACTGGGGATCTCAATCCTTATGGCTTAAGGTTTCCCCCTTTTGAAACCCAAAGCAGATCTGGCTTCGTAGGGAGCAGTTCCAGAGCATTGCCCGGGGACTATGTGACAACTGGTTGTAGCCGTGGGATGTACTGCACCCCACGGATGGCGCTTCCTGCAGTAAGTGACTGGGGAGCAGTAAAATGCAGGGGGCCTAATGAGGACCAGGCGTGCTGAAGGCTCAGAGAGGAGCGGTTTCGGGGGGGTGGAGGAGCTGCTTTGGGTTTCAAGAGGGGGAAACCTTAAGCCATAAGGATTGAGATCCCCAGTCACTGACTGGAGTCACCCTGAATATCCGATGAAGTGAGCTGTAGCTCACGAAAGCTTCTGCTCAAATAAATTTGTAAGTCTCTAAGGTGCCACAAGTACTCGGGTGCTTTTTGCGGATACAGACTAACACAGCTGCTACTCTGAAATCTATTACCTTCCACATCCATCTGTGTCTAGATTCCAGATCATGGCAGAACCTCAGAAATTGACTCTATGTTGAGTTACAGACCTTAGTGACCCACAAATGAGGACACTCGCCCACAGCTCAAAGAACGAATACTCGGGCACGCTAGTGAACTCTTACCTCATTGAGCCAGCTCATTGCTGGTGTAAATCAGGGTAGCTTCATTGATTAGTGCTCTTCCAATTTATAGCAGCTGCTGATGTGGCCCATTATTTTTACAAACATACAGCAACACATTTCCTCGAGTTCTATTCACGCCCTCATACATTTAAACTAACTACAGTTGTCGGATTAAATGAGCAAAGCACTGTACATGGAGAAATGTATTATCCTAGTCTTTTGATTTTCTTTGTGTTTGTTCACTTCCCTGCTAACTCGCTCATTTCAGTAATGCACCAGGGGTATCCCAATCATTAGTGCAAATTAGTGAGGTTCTGATGTATTTCCCTCAGGTTCTAGCTCCTGTAACTTTAATTTCAGCTTCCTGTGAATCAGTGGAAGGGAAATTGAATGGTGCTTCGTCTTAGGCTTATTAATACTGTGCCATATCTAAAGCCTATTAAAGCTCATTGTGTCAAGGGATACCAATGTAGTCCTAAAAAAAATTGATAAAGCCTCTGTGGAATCACATTATTATTGTAACCGCCACTTCTTTACATGAGCAATTCTCTTTCAGAGCAGTAACTTCAGTCATCATAAAAGCTGGAGGAACTAGTTAACATAATTAGGTACAAATAAAATGGTCTCCTGCCTTAATCCTGGAAGAGTTGCCAAAATTCTCCCCTCACCATTCATGCCAATATTCTCGTATTACTCACCCCCATTCTCATGTCCCTACAAGTGAGCTCAGGCTAACTCTGCAACAAAGAGATATCCTTGTAAAGTCCATCCACCCTTTTGCTATTTTGGTATTATGCACTATCATATGTATCATATGACTTTTAAAACAAACGTCGTATCTGTGGGTAATCTAAGCACTATACCCAGATGTACAGACACTCTTCTCAACCTACGTATTATAAAATATTTTAACATTAGCTTAAATAAAATTTGTAAGTATGACCGGGTCTTTTCCCCCCTCTGAGTTAAGACAATCAATGCTGCTCATATCCTTATCTAAGGGCTACTTGGAGACTCAGTGTGTGGCAAGTCAGGGTATAAATCTACAGC